GACCACCACTCGAGGATTCTTCTCAGATCACACTTTATTGGAGCGCCTCTTGATTAAGGGAGAGCTGGAGGTGAGGGGCCCCGAGAACTAACTTGCAGCTGCTTATATGAGGATTCAAGCAAATGGGTCAGTCCGTGATTGGATCCCGCCAGAATGCAAGCACGGGGAGCCACGGGATAGGCTGAGGACATGGAGTCAATTACCATATACGTGCATGCATGGGCCTCAGGACACGTAGTCCTAGGAGCATAGCCAAATATGGAGTTGTTTATAGCTAGGCTACCAGGAAGTTGGCGCCATCTTAGAATGGCGGCTCCCTACAGGGAATGTGTTTTTACCTTCACCATAGTCTCAGATCATTCTCTTCCATGAAAGGAGATCTAATCAAACTGGACACACCCTATTTCATACCACTACACTCAGGCAGGAGGATTACTAAGATTTACAGGTCAGCTCAGGCTACATATGAGTTCCAGTTAGGCCTGAGATATATATAGAAAATTTATGTGGAAAATTACAGAAAAAATAATGTAAGCAAGACAATGAATCCCAGAGCTCAGAGTTTGTGAATAAGTATCATGGGTGGACCTGGGATCTTGACCATACTCTCAGATTTTATGCATTTCCACATGGAGATCTGATTCATTCAAACTACAGATGTAAAATACCAAATAGGATGAAATGGGTGGATGTTCCATTATCCAATCAGGTGGCAGCTTGTGGCTGAAAGGCGGGGCTACAAAGGGTAAGTGTGAGTGGGGAGAAGGAGATATAAGGGTCAGAATGGCTAGACAGGACATTGAGAGCCTTGTAGCCTGGAGTGACTGACTGTCTCTGCTGGTATTGGAACACCTGCTACCAGTGTCCAGATCAGGTAAGTCACTCAACACCATCAGGACACCCCATCTCACCCAGCCTATAGAGTTTCAACTGGATATATTAGACTTCAGATACCATAGGGTGTTCTCATTTCTGTCACTTCTTGTGATTTGGATAAAGAATACAGCATTGCCTCAATCCTTAAAACAATTTTCTTGTTTCTGTTCAATTATGCTTTCTGATTTTGGAGACTCATTTTTGTATCTTGGCTAGATTGGCCTGGAAATACCCAAGTAAGTGAGGCTGGAAGGAATTGGCCACCACCCCTGTCCCAATGTCTTCAGTGGTAGGTTGATAACCAGATGCCATCATACCCTGTATTAGACTCTCATTTTCTGGGATCACAGACTCAGCTTCTCAGACATTTTCTGATGTGTGTTTGCTTGGCTTTTAATTCATTTCATTTATATTTTTGGTGGTTTAGTTTTTTTGTTTGGAGTGGCTATCACAGGCTATAAACACAGCATATTCCTCTTCACTCAATTCAGTCTCTGAGAACCCACAGCTCCAACCTTGTCCTGTACAAGATCAAAAGTCAAGCACAGGTGAAATCATCTAGGGATATAGTGTGCTACTGTCTCCACTGTAGCTCATCGTATGTGTTAGGGCAAGGAGAGGTTAAAGTTGGTCCTTTAAACTACTGCCAATCAGGAGAGAATGGAGGAGAGAGCAGAGACAACCTTCCTCTCTAGGTCTTCAGACCTTTCCTTCCCTGCATCTGTAGGCCACTTCTTGGCTTTTCAGCACCAACATGATTCTTAGGGGGAGGAACTAGGAGCAAACATAACATACACAGTG